CCAATGAACGACGAAGATGAGATGCCAGAGAAGGTAAGGTGTCAAATGTGATGAGAAGATGCCTGGAACAAGGTATGGGAGTACAACGAAAGACAGGAATAAGCAAATCAAATTAAAAGCCGAACCCAATATGTAAGGATGGAAGAAGAAAGATCACGAAGGATGCCAAGGAAAAAAGATGCAGGAATGGGCACCACAAACAGAAGCTGTGTGGTACATATAACATCAAAAATCATGTTCAGAACACAGAAGTCTATCTGGATTAGGCCGAGGATAAAAGGTGGGAAAGGGGAAAAAAAAGCAAAAGTAAGGAGTTACCCTCCCTATCTGCCGCGGTTTTAGGGAGGAAAGAATGAGCTGGATAAAGAAGATGACTTGCAGGATGATAAAGAGTACATGAAACATCAATGGAAAATAAATCAAATTGCTGATGCCATAGGCTAATAGGAAAAGGAAATAAGTCTTAAGGAAAGGGTGAAACAAGGAGAATGTGGAAAGTGGTTCAAACGGAGGCAAAGTGACGCAGTGGAGGACTACATTAATATCCCATTCCAGAAAGGCAGCCCGGATCAACAGGGAGAGTGTAGGAGAGGTAAAAACTATACGGTATCAGGAAAAACAGTAGGTGTAGGATAAAGCCACCCGATAACTGGAAATCAAGGAAACAGAGGATCCCCAATCAAAAAGCCAAGTAAGAAATTCCACAATACAAGGAACAGTGGGCCGATCAGCCGAAAACTCGCAACCCAGAGACCAATAGCAGAAAATATTCCATTTATGCTGATAAACTTCTATGGAGGAAGGGCAGATGAAGAGGTCAGAAATGAAGCTACACGTTGGGACAATCACAATCTCCTCGCCAAGGACCAGATAAAAACCATGCATGAAGATGGAGGACATGAAGAGTGGGATGAATCACTGATGCCCAAGGTTGCTGAAGAAGGGAGGGAGACAGAGGAAGAGGTAGTGGAGGGGTAAGTTGGAGATTAATAAGTTGAGTAAACCATGGCTGAGCTGGCCAGTAAGGAGCAATCAGAAGGAACTGGCACGAAATGGTATATATGATCAAAATCACCAAGTAAAGGAGTTGAATGGGAGGATAAAAATATAAATAATTGTTGGTCCAAGCCTGACTGACAGCCAGGGCAAGAGGATGAGGGATCGGAGACCAAAACAGAAGGAGTTTTTGGTTGAGGGATGTAGCAAATGCATCGATGTGAGGAGTACCCCATTGAAAGTAAAGCTATTGGAAAACCATAGGATCAAGAGACCATTCTGTCAACTATATTCTATCTGGATGGGAAAGACGATCTGCAATAAGATGGAAAGCACCCAGAACATGATACACAATGATATAAATATCTTGCATGTGGGTTCAGAAAAGAGGATCCAATATGTGAAAACATAGGGATTGAAAATGGGTGCCACCTTGATGATTGAGATAAGTAACCACTGTAAAATTGTCGGAATGATTCATTACCACACAATGGCTGGCCAGATGGAGAAAATAATCAAAAGCCCGATGGACAGTGAGAAGCTCCAGAGTGTTGATATGACAAGACTTCTCGGCTGCAAACCAACATCCTGAAGCCTCCTGTTGATCGACCCATGCTCCCCATCCCTGGAAGGAAGTGTCCATGAAAATATGTAAATCTATATGAGGAGGAGAAAGCGGGAGACCCGACTATGTGCGGTTGCTGTTCAACCATCAATGCACATCGTCAACAATGGTAGGAGGAAGGGTAATAAGAGCTTGCAAAGAATCCCATGCAAGATTTTACTGGTCGTGAAAAGCCCACTGAAGAGCACGCATGTGACCACGACCTAAGGGGATAAGTGCAACCATGAAAGACCACATCCCCAAAAGAAATAGAACCTCGCGAGCTGTAAGAGAGGGAGCACTAAGATTGTGGTGAACTGAAACCTCCACCAAATGTAGTTGAAGAGGAGAAGGTTCGACCCGACTGAGATGGGTGTTGAAAAAAACATAGATGGATCATATATTGAGTAGGTCAAACGAAATACTTCTCCAATTCTCCAGCCCACTTGAGCCACCTCCCAAAGCAGCTGAAGAGTATGACAGGCAGACTCTTGTTTGGAATGAGCTAACAATAGCCAGTTGTCTAGATAATAATGAAAATGCATCTCGAGAGTATGCAGATGACGAGCAAAAGCTCTAACCACCCGACAAAAAACATTGTGCTAAAGAAAGCCCAAAGGGTAGTGCACAAAACTGATAAATCACAAACTGAATATATGGTTGTAATTGCTGAGCTGTTGGTATATGTAAGTAAGCATTCATGACAATTCCATGTTAAAACGAGGTCGATTGAGAAATTGATTGAGGCGAGACAAATCTATTGCAGGCCATCTGTCTCCGGTTTTCTTAGGGACAACAAACAGCCTAGAATAAAAAACGAGAGAAAGATGTTTCACAGGTTGAGACAAAAAGACTTGAACCACCTCTGACAAACACTGACTGGTAATGAGATCCCGAAGCAGAGGGAAGGAAATGGATATATGTGACAAAGGAGGAGGGGAAGGAATTATAGGACAAGTCCATCTGAGATAACCTGATCTGTGATGAAATATTGCCAAAGGGGAACAAAGTCACACAATCAAAATCCTACCAGGTAGTCACTGATGCAGTTGGCGTGATGCTAATCTACATTAAAGAAAACGACGAGATAAGGAAGCCCAGAAGAGAAGGAATAAGTATGGCTGAGAAGGACTAGGATGTGAAACAGGAATAGGGGCTTGACGTGACTCTGACAAACGAGCTGTTGATGCAGGGATTCCACACGTGATTCTAAAGTGTCTGGAAATATGGTTTAAAACATACCACCATTGCATCCTGCATGGTAGAGGGGTGTGCTTGCTTCACTTATATCTTTAGTTGTGGACTGTCCAAGGCATCTACGAACTGATCCCTCAGCAACAACTTGAGGAGATCGGATGGTGTAGTTGGGTAGGCCTTGTGTGCCATGCTTTCCAAGTCCTGTGCCAGCTCTTGCAGGCTCTCCCCTTTAGCACGGACTCTCGTCCTAAACCTAGCCCTGTATACTTCCGACTGATTTTGGGTTCTGTACCTGAGTTCTAGAGCTGCTACCAGTGCTCTATAGTTGTATCTGTTGGCTGCTGACA